AGAAAAAAATCCAGAAAATGCAATTTTGCTGTGAAATGTGGATGAAATGATAGCTGATAAATGCCACAGTGATAAAACCCTGGGACACAACCAAGTGCCCCTAAGAGACAAGGGAGTGTCTGAAAGCAACCAGAAGCTCCAGGGGGATGAATCTCTTCTGACAAGACTGGAAATCCTAGAAAGAAACATCCCCACCTCCTCCAGGAAAATAGGTTAGGCAGCTTGGAATCCCTGCTCTAAGGAAGCAAAAGTCTGGCTAACAGGACAAAAAGGAAAAATAATCCTTGATTTAAATGTAGCTTTTGTGGGAACAACTTGATGAAGCTTGTATCAAGTTAATTTCTGTAATATTTTGTATCTTTCTTTTTAAACCTGAGGCAGAGAAAAATCCCTGGTGGTGTGGGGTCTACAGGCTCCAGGTGTTTAATTGAAAAGGGAATTTGTTACACACAAAAACAGCTTTACAGAACATGATCCAGGCCAAATCCTGGCGCTGCTCGTGTGAATAAAATGATCCCACTTTAGTCCTACACCAGAGCAGGGCTGTGATTTCTGCCTGTATTTCAATTTGTGGACACTCAGCTGGATTCAACAACTGCATCTAAAATCTGTAAGTTTGATTTAAAACATGAAAGGAGAACATTTTTATGGTCACCTCTATTGCCCTAATCCAAAATCATTTCAGAGGCAAACTTTGGATTCCATTTCAGTCCATCACCATTAATTAATCCCATTAATTCCACATTCTCTCAGGTTTTCAAGTTGTGCTACTCATATAACTGTAAAGTATCTCAATAGTTTTGGAACAGAGTAAAAAGTGCAAAATAATGAATAATTTGTAGGAATTTTATTATCTGTCCACAGCAACAGAACTGAAAATTTGTATTGAAGCTCTTTTGGAATGTGATGAGTTTCACATAAGTCATACACATGGACGTAAAAATACTTTAAGGCAGTTATTTACCTCTTCTAAAATGAAATAATTTAGGCTGTCATCCAGCAGTGCTTCCCAAAGGAAAGTGAGGCTGGCTGGTAAAGAGGGCAGCCCTGGGAGAGATTAATTTCTTGCCATTTTGGTCCTTTTTTTCTGGTTTGGTTATATAAGGACAGGGCCTGAATGGGGTCTTCTCTTCCTGCAGAGTTTCAAAGGGGGAATGACTTAGACCACAAGGCAAGATGAAAGAGATAACGACAAGGATTCTCTCTGTTGGTGTCACTCCTGATGTCTGAACTCCCATGGTTCCCATTTTCCATTCAGAAATGCTTCTCTAGGTGTTGTCAATGAGTTCTGCACAAAAAACTCCTTTCCCACCACGTTGGGTTTTGTGTTGATTCACTGCTAAGAAAAGGCACAGCTGAAATCCTCAATTCCTAGCAGTGCTCCAGAGAGAAAAATGAGCCATTGCTGGGTTTTAACTCTGCTCATTATTCCCTGGAAGGAAAAGTTATATTTGTGCTGCCTCTAGGCAAAGTCCCATCCTACATGAACAAAAGACTGAAGTTAAGTTCACATCCATTTCATCTCCTCCTGCTCTCCACAGATGCTGAAGTCCCTGACACTGTGGCTTCGGTGCTCATATGTCACAGCAAAAGATTCATTAAAAATGCACAGACAGATTGATCTTGGAAGGGGGGGGAAATAAAAAAGATCTGGAGTTTAAGGCGAAAGGAAAATAGAAATGAGGAGCCAAAAGGTGAAAAAGGGAAACACCCCCAAAATTCACATGAGAAAGACATTTAAAAATAAAGAGGAGACAGCAACTGTGCTGACATTTAATGTGTCTGCTTGGGCTAAAACTCATCCTTTTACTAGCAATAAAACAACAGCCTAGCCCAAAGCCCTTGGAGCATTTTGCACCAAGCACCTCATAAAAAGGGTTGGCAATTTCTGCTAAGGTCTCTACAATATCTACACCAAACTTTATTTTTTTTAGGGTAATTAAATGGGAGCAAATCCCCAGTTGAGGCAGGGAGAGCTGCTCCAAAGTGGGAAGGAAAAGGCAGGAATGAGCTCTCCTTGTGATTCCTGTGCTGCTGATCACCAGGTGATGGACAAGAGCAGCCCCACAGAATTTTTGTAGCATTTCCTGGATGGCCAGAAGGATTTTTGCTCTGCCAGAGGAATCCTGCAAGCAAAAAGCAAAAAGGATAATAAGCTCCTTGAGTAAGAGGCACCTCCTTGCAAATTCTCTTATATAGGTGACACATTTCTTCTATTTTTATCAAAAACAACTTGTAAAATAGAAATATGGATCATAATTTACATTCTTTCAGCAAAAAAAAAAAAAAAACAACAAACCCTCTGACAACTAAGCTGGATCCCTGCAATGGGAAGTACATATATAAATATATATTCACACACACAGCAGCAATATTTTTAGCTGTGATTTCCTACTCATGTGGCAACATGACCAGGGTTCTGAAGAAGCTGAGCCAAGTGAAAACACAACCTGCAGAACAGGTCACGTTTAAATATTCTGCTATTGAAGAATATTAAAAACTACAGATTAAGTAGGAGTGTTGTAACACTTAACATTAATTAAGGCTTGTAAATCATTCTGAAATACTTGGATAAAAGATGGCATAAAAGGTGTTGCCACATGTCTTGATGCTTCTAGATGTGCACAAGCCCTGACATCTTATTTTGTGTTTGGGATGTTTCAAATCATAAAAAAAAATTATGGACACTGGGTGAATTTAATGTTGGGAAGTGTTGGGACATGACAGAGAAACACCAAGGTTGTTTGATTAAGAACTCAAGCAGACATCTCAAAGTAAAAAAACCGAAATAGATCCATTTCTTGGATCCTGGTGGATCACCAGATCTGTGAGTTAGAGCTTGGCAGTGTTGCTAATCCTTGACTCGGCTGTATATTCATATATGTGAAATACAGATCATTCTCCTTCCAGCCTAGTACCACCAACTATTCACATCCCAAAAAACCCTCTTAGTCCATGCCACCAAACAGTTGGAAAAGGAATCTGGAAGCACTTAATGCCTATCTGGGCTTGGTGAACAGCATAACCAGTTCTCAGAGAACTTGGCACTTGTTGCTTGTGCAACTACAGGTCTTTATAGAATACAGAAATCAAAGGCCAGCAGTAAGGCTCTTGTGCTTTCCCACATGGATCTCCAGATCTAAGAGCCACATCTTCCTTTTTATCCAGAGACAAACATGTATTTTATGGCACCCATTAAAAAAAAAAAAACAAAAGGTGTAAGGAGTGACAGCAAACTCAGGCAGAAGCAGAGTTAATTAATTACCTGGACAGGACACACTGGACAGCTGTTAATGGCGCATCTCACCTGGAGCTGAGGCCACAAACACACTCCAGGTGACCCCAGCACCAGGGGGAGCCCACCAGAAACACAGAGAGAGCTGCTTAGGGTCACAGAGCAACTGGGATGGATTCCAGCTTAAAAGAGGGCAGGTTTCAATCAGATGGGATACTGGGAAGGGATTGCTCCCTGTGAGGGTGGGGAGGCCCCAGCACAGGGTGCCCAGAGCAGCTGGGGCTGTTCCTGGATCCCTGGAAGTGCCCAAGGCCAGGTTGGACACGGCTTGGATCAGCCTGGGATGGTGGAAGGTGTCCCTGCCCATGGCAGAGGGTTGGAAATTAATGACTTTTAAAGGTCCTTTTCAACCCAAACCCTGCTGTGACTCTGATTCCGTGCCGTAGCAGCAGTGATGCTCCAGAGCAACGTGAGACCACCACAGCCGTAGCTCTCACCTGGACTGCCCATAGGACATTTTCAGGGACATTTTCAGGCTGGGCTGGGGATGAGGCGGAAGACCAGGCCGACATTTGACCCCAGAGGCAGCGCCCCCAGCTCCACACCGTGATGTACGCGTTACACCGCTGCGACCCCTCCCAGCCAGGTCCCACCGCGTGGCT